GTCATCTGCAAATTTGATCAGGATGCCCTTGAGTCCATCATCCAACATCTGAAGGCCCCGATCTGCTAGGTGCTGGGGTGAATTGCACCCTGCGCCTTGCGGAGTCAGGCCCAGGCTGCCACCTGGCCCAGCATTGCCCTCTCCCACTGTAAACCAACCAGGACAGTTCCAAGAAAATGCACATGGCAAAAAGAAGCACTAGGCCACCCTCTGGTGGGCCGCCCCCTTACCTGCTTGTGATTGCCCAAGCTGATAGCCAACCAATCAGATTTAATAAATAAATAAATAACCCCCCCTTTTCTTCTCACTTCCCTCTATGGCCTCCTAGCCTTGTGCTGTGGCCCCCATATATATCCTGGGGGGGGGGCAGGAGGCCATATAGCCCCCATTAGGAAACACTGGTTTAGTCCATAGAAGTGAACCTGGTCAGATAAAGCATGCATTCCTGTGGTGCACAGGTTGAAACAAGTTTTCTTTGGGTCCTCCTTGGATGCACAGGAGCAGGAGTGAGTGCAAAGATTCTCAGGTACTCTGCTTAAAGAAATTCTGTGTTGTGGGGGCAGAAAGGGGGGGCTGGTTCTGCAAGCTGAATGAAATTACACAAATGAATCAAATGAATTTGCTTCACATTGGCCACAGAGAGCAGCCATACTCTACATACTCTATATGTAGAGTATAGGAGCATCCTCCCAACTCCAGTGACTGGAAGCAATGCTTTTATCAATGCCTCTGGTATTTTAAAGCTTTAATCTCTGTAGCCATAGGGTTATAGATGTTCCCTTAAGAAAAAAAATACAATAAACAGGGTGTCCTGTGCAGAAGTCTCTGAATCTATTAGCTTGTAATTTGCAATGGAGGCTTATTCTGCCTGCAAATTTCATCCACTACTATCAAGGGGGGAAAGTTATAGTTATGTTAAAATGTCACAGTAGTGAATGGAGTGAACCAGGCAGTGTACAAGTGTCTTGGATGGAGGTGGGCTGCTTTCTAAAGGGCTGATTCAGGGTCTGAACTGAATCTTGTGGTTGGTTCATACAGCTCACATTGAATCATTGCATGATTGCTGATGGTTTCAATGTGTCCCTATAAGTCACATATAATTCTTCACAATTAATCACTCTTCGTTATGAGGACTTCTCAGAGTTTGTTTTGTGACTTTATGGGAAAATGAACTACTGGCATGATTTTAATGATAGCATTGTGAATTTAACAGTTGCTCCTTTGCAATTCTTCAGTGCTATTTCTATATTTCAACCATTCCTTTTGTTTCACTGGAAGATTCAGACCTCTTGCATTGCATGGTCTTAATTTTGCTGAACAAAATGTGCTTGTAGATTCATAGCCAATCATAATATATGGTCTCCCCCCCCCACCTGTCTAGTATCCTCTTCATCAGGCTTCCTTAGCAGTTTTCCTGACCTTTTGGATAATCCCCTTATGTTTGTTTGGGATTTGTTTAAGATCTTTACTTAGGAGATACCCTCACAACTTGTTGGAGCTTGCTTTGGTGGTTGTGGTTGAGGAATGGTATTTGACCAGGGCATTTTACCTACACGGGTGTCCAGTGCTTAGTTGCATTGAGGCATGGTTGCTGCTTTGCTTGGGCAAGTTCGAAAGCATGTCAAAGTGCAAGTAGATAAATAGGCACCGCTCCGGCGGCAAGGTAAACGGCGTTTCCATGCCAGAAGCGGCTTAGTCATGCTGACCTGGAAGCTGTACACCAGCTCCCAAAGCTCATAAAGCGAGCTGAGCACCGCAACCCCAGAGTCGGCCACGACTGGACCTATGGTCAGGGGTCCCTTTACCTTTATGCTGTTCTCTTAGGCCTAGTTTATTATTGTTTGCCTTCTCCCTCAAAGTACACTCCTCCATTGTTTCTTGAGACAGATGAATGCCAACTCAACTCTACTATGGGACCCAAGAAAGGACAGGGAAGGTCTAACACCATCCAACCTCCGGCAAAGCATCCTCCCCACCTTCTTCCTTGGGACATGAGGGCTCTGTCTCATTTGAAGGTTGATTTTACTTTGATAGGGTCTTGGCCATGGGATGTTGGCCATGCAATTTAAGTCGACCCAGAATTTGGCTGGATCAGGTTGATGCAATCCTGGATCAGCCCAGGTTGGATCAGGACTACCCAGAAGGGGCATTGTTCTGGCAGAAAGGGCAAGGGGATGCATAGGCAACCTGTGTGTATCTCTTTCTCTCCTCCTCCTGCCCATGAGTTTAATTAGGGTATAAAAGCCTGATTACATGGCATCATCTCCTTTAGGAATGGCTGAGAATACTGATGAATTTGGAAATAGTACCCAAAATTACGTCAGCTTATGTGTTCTTTCTCAACCTGGAACAGGAATTTGGTAGGCGAATATGATAGATGTTCACTGTATTTTTATGATACAGTGCCCCCCCCACATGTTCCTGATGTTTCCTTCCATTGAAATGAAAGGTGTAGCATGATGTAATGGTTATTTAATGACATAATATGTTTGGAATTAGTGGGCAGTGAGACAAACAATGTTCTTTGCAGAAGGCAAACTGCAGCAGACTAGAAACAGCACTATCCATGATGAATATGGGATGGACAAGAAAATGATGGCTTCTTACATCCCCAACTCCTGCCTACTGTATTCCAATATGGCAAATTTTAACAGTCAGCCCAACTTTTAGTTTTGCACTTGGGAGGGAATGATTTGAGTTTGTTATAAAACCCAAACATGCATTTTGCAAGCAAGTAGGGATTTTAGGGTGATAAGGCAGAGATAGTTGTGGGTGGGATCTGCAGGATCCTGGGCAGGCTGAGGTAGTAGGACTAAACAGAGGGTTGCCTGTCTTTTGTGGTGGGAAGATCCAGAATGTTGACTAATTTGAGGGGAGGGATCCGGTGAGCACCATTAGGCACCATTTACTAATGGGTGTTGCAGAGGCCAACTGCTAAGGACTTGTGAAATGTCTGGGCTAAATACAGACGATAAGCAGAGCTTGCTGGATCAGGCCAATGAACCCCAAACAAGAAGCCCCCAGACAGAATCTGACTGCACCCGTACTTTACCCTTTCATTCAGAACATCTTTGAGGCTAAGCTGCCCAATACAGCCGAAGTTGTGGGGACCCAGGGCCACCAAGCTGACCTTAGCCAGCTGAGGCTGAGGCAAAGGGCAATGCATGACGGCATTCATTCCCCTTGCCCTGGCAGAAGTTGGCCCTCCCAAAACAATGTTTTGTTTAGTTTCCTGCACTGTGGTTCAACCCACACTTGTTGCTTTGTCTCTTATTTCCCTGTTCTGGTTGTAAATTCAGCTGACTGCCAAACAATAAATCTATCTTGATGAAATAAGAATTCCAAAAACAGACATCCTCATTTTCAGCCCAAGTCCCCAGATAATAAAAAGGCTGGTTCTTGGGCAGTGGCATAGCATGGGGGGTGCAGGGGGGCCCAGCCGCACTGGGCGCAACATCTGGGGTTAGGGCAAATCCACAGGTTAGGGGGCGCAAATCCACGGGTTAGGGGGCGCAAATCCACGGGTTAGGGGGCGCAAATCCACGGGTTAGGGGGCGCAAATCCACGGGTTAGGGGGCGCAAATTACTTGCCTTGCCCCGGGTGCTGACAACCCACGCTACGCCACTGTTCTTGGGGCATATTGTCACATCACTCTCCAGACAGCTGCAGCCATGAAAGTTCTGATCCTTTCCATACTCAGCCTCCTCGCTGTGGCAAATGAGGCCCGTTTGTTTGAGCGCTGTGAGCTAGCAGGCGTTTTGAGACGATATGGGCTAGATGGATTCGGAGGCTACACCCTGAATGACTGTGAGTTTTGTTTGCTGAGTGCACAGCTTCATTGGAGTTCTTTGTATGGATTTATGCTTGCAATGGGGTACCTTCCAGGTGTTGCTGGATTTCAACTCCCATTGGTCACATCCTGTGTTACCAGTGAACATAGATGATAGGAGTTGTAGCCCAACAACATCTGGAGGGCAGCAGGCTTGCAGGGCGTGTTTTGATATTTTTCAGCTGCTCTTTCCAGTGTTCTCATTTTCAAAATTTGCTTTTGAATCTTACAATCTGAAACCCTCTTGTATGACCTCTTAGGGAAAGGAGAAATGCTAGCATCCCCATAAAAATGCTGCCTTCTTGCTTGCGCTGCTGCCTAAAGAAGCTCATCCTATTGGCAACCAGGGTCTTTCCAAGTGTGGCCCCCACTCTTTGGAGAAGGCACACAGTCATGGTACATGCTGAAAACTGACATGCTCACTGACTAGTTCCTTTGCCACTGATGTCAATAATTTGCTTAGGCAACCTTTCAGTTACATTTTGTACTAACTGTTAACACTGCTGGATATATTTTACTATTGTTTGTGTATTCTTGATTAATCTTATTATAAACCACCTTGCTGGTATATAAATTTAAAATAAATTAATAATGAGAAATAATAAACAAAGTGGTACTGATGGTACTGATACTGTGAAATGTTTACATGTAGTGTTTTCTGCTCTGAAAAAAATGAAGACTGCAAAAATTATAATCAAAATAAAGAATGTCAAAACTGAAAATAGTTAATAAAAAAAGTGTTGACATAATTGAAGTTTGGTGGAATGGAATGGAAAACCAAGTTAGCGATTTGAATATTGTTCATATGGTGCTTTAGGGTTTTCATAGTCCTTCCTGTGCATTATCTGCCTCTCCCTTCCTGCATGATGCCCCAACACCTGACAGCCCCAGATTGATCTGGGCCATCCAAGCTGACCTGCCGTCATCTGTGGATGCCTTACCTGACTTGACTGCCAGGACGCCTTTGAAAAGACTGGATTTGGCTTGGGCCTTGGCCAAAGCCCTGGAATCCAGTGTATTCAAGACCATGATTCAAATCTCTTAACCACAATGCTTGCACTACACCATTTTCTGGTGTGCAATCTCTGCAAATTTTCTTCTTAAAAAGGTACTGTATGTTTTTATGCCAGCTTTCTAATACCCATGTATGTATTTTCTTTCCCCTGCCAGGGATTTGTCTGCTCAGTGCTGGAGGCGGTTTTAGCACTAACCCCCCAGTGATTGCCATGGGCATGCGCCAATACTATGGGCTGTTCAGGATTGACAATCAATACTTTTGCAGTGATGGGACCATAGCATCACGTAATGTCTGCAACATGCCCTGTCAGCGTGAGTGACATGTTTTTGCTTTGTATTATGTGAACTAGCAACTTTCTGTCATTTCCCTCTTTGCAATTTGGAAAGAAAGAAGTCCACATTCATGCACATCTTGTGCATATTACTCCGTGTAAAACACTTTTGTACATGTTACTGCACAGTATATGAGCTTCACTGGCCAGCCATGAGTTCCAGTCTTATGAGAGAAGAAGAAAAACTTTTCTCTGTCTACTTTCTCCATGCCTTGCATCATTTTATGGACTACAATCATTCCTCTGTGGGTGGCCACAGAGCCTAGGACTTGCCAATCAGAAGGTTGGCAGTTCGAATCCCTGCAACGGGGTGAGCTCCCGTTGCTTGGTCCCTGCTCCTGCTAACCTAGCAGTTCGAAAGCACATCAAAGTGCAAGTAGATAAATAGGTACCGCTCTGGCAGGAAGGTAAACGGCGTTTCTGTGTGCTGCTCTGGTTTCTGCTGGCCACATGACCCGGAAGCTGTACACCGGCTCCTTCGGCCAATAAAGCAAGATGAGCTCTGCAACCCCAGAGTTGGTCATGACTGGACCTAATGGTCAGGGGTCCCTTTACCTTTACTATCATTCCTTGACCTATTACTTGACCTTTCTATAAACTAAAAAGTCCCAAAGGCTGTAATCTTTCCTCATAGGGGAGTTGCTCCAGCCCCTTGATAATTTTGGTTGCCTTTCTGAACATTTCTCAGCTTTACAATATCTTTTTTTGAGCTGAGGCAATCAGAACTGTACACAAGATTGCAAATGCACTCACACAATAGATTTATATAACGGCATTATGATATCGGCAGTTTTATTTACCGTTCCTTTTGTAATGATCCCTAGCATAGAATTTGCCACACACTGGGTCGACACCTTCATTATCTTCTACAACTTCAAGGTCATTCCTGGTCAGACCCCATAAATGTATAGGGGACATATATAAATAACAATGATAAATTAATAAGTAAATAAACAATTGGGGGTCCCAACATGCATCCCTTTTCACTTGTTTTCATTGACTTGCATTTGCCATTTTACTGCCTATTCTCTCAATTTGAAGAGGTCCTTTTGGACTTCCTCACAATCCTTTTTTGTTTTTTTTAACAATTCGAGATCATTAGCAAACTTTGACAACTCATCCCTGTGGATGTGGCAAATCCCTGTTTATGAGCAAGTTAAAAAACCACAAATCCCAATACTGATCCTTAGAGGACTTCACTCTCTACATCTCTCCATTCAGAAAACTGCCAAATGGACTTCCGGCGAGGCAGCATGGCGGCTGCAACAGCAGAAAAGAGCTCCTGAAGCCAGCCAGAGTAAAAGGCTCTGTCTGGCCACCCCAGGGCTCCCAGGTCTGCTGCCGCCAGCACCAACAGCGGAGAGGAATCGGGGGTGCCCAGGCATCTATCAAAGGAGCCAAAACACCCCCCCCACGACTGAGATTGAGCCGGAAAGGCACCCGACCACCCCCCCAACAGCAGAGAGGAGCTCCAAAACCAGGAGGACAGTGGAGCCAACACAAAGAGGGAGAAAGAAAGGGGGAGAGAGGAAGAAAAAGAAAGAAAAAGGAGCCCCAAACTTACCGCTGCCGCCCCCATCTCTGCCAAGGAGAAAGCAGAGGAGAGGTACGTGAGCACGGGAAGGCAAAAAAGGCTCCGAAAAAACAACACGTGGCTGAGCCCCACCGGGAAACACAAAGAAGCAGCATAACAAAGGAGAAACTACCTTTTTTTTCCCTCCCCCCTTTTTTTTTAACCCCCTTCCTTTTTTAACCCCTTCCTCCCCCTCCCTCCCCCCTTAAAAAAGCAGGGGAGAGGTAGGTGAGCACGGGAAGGCAAAAAAGGCTCCGAAAAAACAACAACACGTGGCTGAGCCCCACCGGGAAACACAAAGAAGCAGCATAACAAAGGAGAAACTACCTTTTTTTTCCCCCTTCCCTTTTTTTTAACCCCCTTCCTTTTTTTTAACCCCTTCCTCCCCCCTCCCCCTTAATATATATATATATACCTTTTTATCCCTCCCCCCCATATACCTACTTTTATCTCTTTTCCTTATAAAAGAGGGTCCACTGCTGCTGCAGCCACCCTTTATTTGAATCTTTACCGCTGATATTACTGTACTATCTCTCCCTTCTCTTTTACTCCAATCTCCCCTCTCCCCCCCGCCTCCCCCCTTTTTCTTTCTTTCTTCTTCTTCCCTTTCTTCTCCCTCCACCCTTTACATATAGCCTACTTGTCTGTCTCTGTTTCTGAGCGCACTCCCAACCCCAACTTCCACCTCAACTGGACCCCAATACCCCTTTTGGGCATATACAACCCCCTCCTAACACATATCTCCCCTGGCCCCACCCCTCCAATCTCTTGCATCTCTACCTGCTAACCCCCCTCCCTTTATATGAACTGTCTGCCCGTCAGTCTACCCATCTCTGCTTACCTGCCCCCCCCCCGCCTCGGCGGCACCGCTGAGGCATCTACAGAAGCCCTAAAGAAGTTCTTAAAACACAGACTAGAAGTGACACAAATGACCACCTAATCCAAACGCTCTGTAGAAGCCACCAACCAACAAAGCCTGATCAGCTCAGCAACCCAACAATACCCAGGAATCACCACTGCCACAACTCCTAACCACCACACGCCCTACCCCAAGAGGACGCCAAGCCAACCTCAAACCAAAACCAGGGAGACCAAGACGACACCAACCAGGGAGATGGCAAACAATGTTAAGACGGTAACTCCCCTTCAAGACGATGACCACCAAATAACGAAACGAGATCTGAGGGAAATGGAAGCAAGACTAGAAGAAACACTGAAAGCCACAATGGCTCCCATGCAGGTACTAATCAACAATCTAACCTCCAAAGTGGAAGCTCTAGAGAACAAGAACCAAATGCAAGAAAGAATAATAGAGCAATACCGGGAAGAGAATGCACGTGTGAACAAGAAACTGGACGAACTGGTAAACCAAATGGAAGCAGAACACAGAGAGATGAAAATTAAGCAAGCCGACCTTGAAGACCGCAATAGACGTTGTAACATCCGCTTCCGCAACTTTCCTGAAAAAACAGAGGAGAAAAGCCCAGCAGACCTAATTATACGCTGGCTGAAAAACACAATCCCAAGCCTGAAACTTGAGGCAGATGACTTGGAGAGGGCTCACAGAGCCCTAAAACCTACGCCAAAACCCAGCGCCCCCCCAAGAGACATCATTGTATGCTTCACACGCTACAAAAAGAAGGAAGAGGTATGGCACCACCTCAAAAACTCAACCAACCTTCGATATGGAGAAACCCCTATTCTGGCCTTACAGGACCTATCTCAGGATACCCTAAACCGGAGGAAAAGCCTGCGCCCATGCACCCAGCGTCTCCAACAAGCAGGGATCAAATACCGATGGGGCTTCCCCTTCCGCCTCATTGTAACAACCAATACAACGCAACACATGGCTACCAACATACCTGAGGCCCTACAACTACTAAAGAACCTTGAACTCGACCTCCCACCGGAATGGCAACCGACAAACCCACCAAGTGACAGCCCCAACCACGAGGAAACAACAGCAAACAACTGGACAACGGTACAGAAGAAAAAGAAACAACAGAAGCGGCACAACAACGAAAACCAATACAGGCAAGCATCATGCTCAGAACCGTCCCGCCGGCCATACGACACAAGAAACCAGACCAAGATTAACCAAACCAATTCATCGCAGATGGACAACCCTACAACAACAACAACCCCAGCTGAATGAAGCAACCAGGAAAAACCACAAACTGAAGGACTGGTGATTTCCCCCCCTTTTTCCCCTCTCCCCCCCCAAAAAAACATAGATTTAGTTAACACCATCAACATCCCCCCCAGCCCCGCACCCCCACAGGAATCCCCACCCCAACACCAGTCCAGACGACCTCAACCACATTCCCCATCACCCACACCTTCAACACCCCCATACTCCATACTAGGGAAAAACAACTCCTCCAACCTTAATAACACAACCCACAATCAGGCTAAAATCTGATACCCAACCAGCACTATGGTGGCACCAGAGCGTACCAACACCCACATCCCCACCCCAACACACCAACAATGTTGCTCATAACATTGGCAACATTGCTCATGAACCTTATACCTGACAGCGACGTTACAAAGTCACTTCACACTGTCTCACTGATCACCCCCTATCGCAAACAACAGGGGGGATGGCCTGTCCTTGAACACGGCCTTCCACACCAGCTGAGACCTAGGACCAACTGGCTAAATGCCAGATGGCCTAAAATACCCCAAACAAACACCTATATGACTACATATAGGAAACTCCCTACAACTTACCCCCTACTCTTTAACCCAAATCTCACTCTAATCCTACTAGCCCCCCACCCACCACACCCTAGGTCAGCGCAACCCCACTGGTTCTTTAAACAACACAAAGAGAGAGACACAAGACAACCCGAACGGGTTGGCAGGGAATCGCCCCACATAATAGATAAGCAAGATGGCTAACCTAAAAGCAATTACATTAAACGTGAGGGGGCTGGGAAACCCCATCAAAAGAAAACGCATCACCTCATACATAAACACCATGAAACCACACATCACCTTCCTACAAGAAATACACAATCCACCCAAAGGCAGCAAACTCCTGAGCGACCCCCGCTTCAGTCAACAGTGGGTCGCACGAGGCTCAGGGAAAGCTCGCGGTGTAGCCATAATACTCAGTAGAGACCTGAACTTCACTGCCACAACAGTCCTCAAGGACAAAAAAGGCAGATTCATTTTCGCTAAAGGGACACTAGATGGCAAAATCAAACTGACAATCGGCTCCATATATGCCCCAAACACGAAACAACTAGAATTCTTCCAGAAAACACTAAACAAATTCCTCTCCTTCTCTGAAGGGGAAACAATCCTAGGAGGGGACCTCAATCTAAATATGAAAGGTATATCTTTGAAAGATATCCACCCCACAACCCCATGGGCAACCTTCCTCCGAAGGAAACCCCCAACAACCAGGAACTCTTACAAGTTACTAAAAATGCTAAAAAACAGGGGTCTCTACGACATTTGGGGTGAGCAAAACCCAGGAGACACCAGCCATACATTCCAATCGGGACGCCATGATACAGTGTCCAGACTGGACAGCATTCTACTCACACAGGGTCTGATTCCCTCAGTAGAATCAACAAACATAGGTAACATTAAAATCACAGATCACGCCCCAGTAGAAGTCATTGTTAAAATAGGAGAAGGAACACAAACCACCCCATCATGGTCCTTCAGTCCCATCCTAACTACAAACAAACAAATTAGAGAGAGTCTCACAAAAACCCTCCAAAACTACTTCAAAGAAAACGATGTAAACAATATAACAACCCCCCTCCTATGGGACGCAATGAAAGCGGTCACCAGAGGAGCTTGCATAAAAGAGAAAACATTCCTTAAAAAACAAACCTCCTCAAAAATTAGCAAAACAGAACAAGACATCATAGCCCTCTCATCACGCTACAAACAAACAGGATCTAAAAAACTCCTCAAAATTATAGAACAAAAAAGGAGAGAACTAGACTCCCTAGAAATTAACAAAACAATGATCAACATTCTATACTCTAAACAACGTTTTTATGAATATGGAGGGAAAAACTCCAGATTACTAGCAAATAGATGTAGGAAAAAAGCACTCAAAACAAGAATACACTGCATCACCAAAAAAGACGGCAACATAACATTCTCCCCCGAAGAAATAACCTCAGAATTTGCAGAATTCTACTCCAACCTATACACCTCCCGTAACCCACCAGAGAAGGAAATCAGAACATTTCTAGCAGGACTAAACATGCCCACCCTAACTGATGAGGAACAGGAATTCATGGACAGCCCTATCACCCCAGAGGAAATAGATGCGGTCCTCAAAAACCTGAAACCACACAAAGCCCCAGGCCCAGACGGCTTCACAGCAGAATTCTATAAGAAATTCAAAGAACCCTTGATGCCCTACATGACCCGCCTATTCAACGACATCATAAAAGGGGGCCCCATCCCCAAAACCTGGACCCACTCCAGAATAGTCTCCATCCCAAAACCACTAAAAGACAGCCTCAAAGTAGAATCATACCGCCCAATCTCATTAATAAACCAAGACTACAAGATCTTCACACCAATCTTGGCCAACCGCCTAAAAATCTTCCTACACAAGTTAATAGCCCCAGACCAGACTGGCTTTGTCCCTGGCCGCAATATAACAGACCCCATCAGGAAACTACTGAACCTGATCGAACACAGCAAGGCAACCAAACTCCCATTGACAATTATGTCCCTAGACATCCTCAAAGCCTTTGATTGCTTGGAGTGGAAATACATACTAGCAGTACTAACTAACATGAAATTTGGCCCCAACTTCCTACACATCCTCAAACAAATATACTCCCAAGCCTCAGCAAAATGCAGAACTAACAATATGGATTCTAACACTATAGCTATCCAAAGAGGCACGAAACAAGGATGCCCACTGTCTCCCTTCTTATTTATCCTGGCTCTGGAACCCCTAGCAATCCGCATCCGAGCAGCCACAGACATCAAGGGAGTGGAAATAAAAGGCAGAACCTATAAATTAGGGCTCTTTGCAGATGACCTAATGGTCACAACACCAGACCCCATAAGCACAGCAACCTCCCTAACCAGAGAACTCAACACATTTGCAATGGTGTCGGGCCTACAGGTAAATTTTACAAAGTCAGAAGCTATGTGCTTCAACACCCCTCCTCACACCCAAAAAGAACTCACGAAGGTCACCAAAATAAAACTTTGCCACACCAAGTTCAGATACCTAGGAGTACAAATAACCAGAAACCTCAATAAATTGTACCTCCACAACTACAAGCCCCTGTGGCGACAAATTAACAAAGACCTAAAGTGATGGAACAACATGAACTTCACTCTCTCAGACAAAATAGCTCTGATCAAAATGATCACACTCCCAAAACTAACCTACCTATTCCAAACCCTCCCAATCTGGATCCCCTCAACCCAACTTCGCAGTTGGCAGAGAAAACTACACTCTTTCATCTTCTCACATAAAAAACCAAGAATAAGCCCCAAATATCTGCACCTCCCCACCTCAGAAGGAGGATGGGGAATCCCCAACATAGAAACATATTACAATGCCAACCAAATACGCCATATAATCCCATATATACTAGAAGATGAGACAAAACAATGGGTACACCTAGAGAGGGACACAATTGAAAACACCTACACCACAACATACCCACTCCTCCCAAACAAACTAAAGAAAATTCCCACAACACTTAACAGGTACACACAGACCATGCTCAAAGCATGGAAAACACAAATAGGCAAACTATCCCCAACCCCATCCCCACTAATCCCCCTGGCGTACCACCCATTATTCCACCATGCAGCACAAAACCTCAAGATAAAAACCTGGCGAACCAAAGGCTTGTATCGCCTAATAGACTTTTATAAAAATAACAAACCCTTGTCAACACAAGAAATACAAGACAAACTAGAAGACACCCAAATGCCCTGGTTAACACAACACCAACTACATGCCCTCTTAAACAACCCAACAGTAAAATCAGCAGCAACTAGGCCCCTGACAACCTTCGAAAACCTCCTCCTAACAACAAAGGGAAACGGTAAAGGGACGGTATCCGCAATATACAAAATACTACTCCAAAATCCCGCAAATCCCCTAGACGCAATCAAAAAACAATGGGAGAATGACATAGGCTATGAGATCAACCCCACTCAATGGACCAGAATGTGGTCTAAACCCCCCTTTAAATCCATATCAACGAAAAGAAAAGAACTCACACTGAAACTCACCTACAGGTGGTACCTAACACCAAGAAAACTAGCGCTAATACACCCAGGAACCTCACCAAAATGCTGGAGAGGGTGCACCTCCACAGGCACATACCTCCACATGTGGTGGGAGTGTCCCAAAATCCAACTATTCTGGACAAAAGCCATACAAGAAATATGTAAAATAACTATGCAAGTAATAGACACCACCCCAGAATTGGCCCTACTAAACATCTTCCAAGACAACAATGCCCATTTACACCACAAAGAACTCATAACCCATCTACTTTCAGCAGCCAGAAACACCATAACCAGACACTGGAGAGACCTGTCAGGAGTAAGCATGGACCAATGGTACCAAATAGTATGGGAAACAGCCCTACTAGAAAAATTAACTAACAAACTGAAACTGACACGGGGACAAACAGAAGAAGACGCCTTCACCCCGGTATGGCTCCCCTTTATCACATACACAGCCCAACAGGACAGTGACAATAATCCACCAACAGCATACAAATCAATATGGCTAACCTGATCCAAAACACCCACCCACCTCACCCACACATGAAAACAAAAATCACCACAGCCAGTCACAAACAAACAATCACACCCTAGGCCAACCCCAACCTCTCTCACCACCAAAGGAACACAAGTGAACAACACAAGCAACGCTGACACCAAACTCTACATACATTAAACATAATAGAAACACTGCTACCCGACCCCACCCCTATCCATCCTCCCTCCCTCCACCCCCCTCTCTTTTTTCTTTTTTCTTTTCTTCGCCCCCTAATGCCTCAACAAATGAAACGGATTTGTAAAAATGTTACATGGAAAAAAAATGCGAGGCACTACACTTCTGTAAAACAAGAAAATCCTGAATAAAATATATATTTAAAAAAAAAAAAAGAAAACTGCCAAATAATTTCTGCTCTTCGTTTTCTGCAATTTAACCAATTTGTGATTCACAATATGTTCTCCTCATATTCCCAGACTGCTAAGCTTACTCACGAGTCTTTAATGTTGAAAGCTTCTTGAAAGTCCAGATCACCTTTATCTACTTTCTTATTGACACTCTCCAAGAACTGTAATAAGTTTGTGAAACTGAACTTGCTCTTGCAGAAGGCATGCTGGTTTGTTCTTCTATATGCTTAGTTATTTTATCCTAACAATGCTTTTCACCATTTTTTTCTAGGACAGACATGCTAACCAGCTTGTAATTTCCACGAGTCCCCCTGAATCCCCTTTTTAAAAAGTTGGTGTTGCACTGGTTGGATGATCTTGCAAGTCATCATTTTGTAGCTGGCTCTGCTTCCTCTAGTCATTATTTTGCACCCTGGCTGGAGCTTGTTCATTTTGAGTTCTACAAACAAACAGTAGATTTTGGGTACCCTTTGCTATAAATCATAATGAGAGTCAATCTGGGCCAAATTTTGGGCTGTAGATTTTAAATGGACAATTATGTGGCTTGGCAATCACCTGTGATTTGTCAGCATTTACAAGCAGGTGCCCAAGTTTTTCCTGGATTCAAGTGGTTCCTTCTGTGTCCAGAGGTGATGATGCCCTAGCTTGTTTTTGTTGTAAACTTCAGGGCTTGTTTCTTTATGGTGTGGATTTGTTCTGGACACATACAGACAATGGAATTTGCAGACTCTGAGGGAAAGGGAAGACAGTCTGAGAAACAGGAAGCTAGCAGGAAGATGCCCCCAGGTCCCAAGCTTTTTGAAAAAAGGGCTCCCTGTTGCAAAGATTAAATTGCTATGTAGTTGAAATTTAACTGTAATAAGTGAAAGCACCTAGTATAAGTTTTCCAGCAGACTGCCTAATCCGCATTTAGTCCACTCATCATGTCTAAAGAGCAAGAGCCCCTGAAACAAGCAAGAGCTGCCATAATTAAGAACTACAGTACTTTTTACTGTATCATTTTTGTGCTATTTCACAGTGACATCCAGAAGCAACCTCGTTATTTCCATTAATCTTCATTACCTGCCCGTCTCATTCCATATCTTTGCAGGATTCCTTGATGACGATCTCACTGATGACATTGCATGTGTTAAGACAATTGTCCAAAGTCAAGTATGGGTAAAAACCTGGTGAGTCACGGGGACTTCCGGGTTAGCGCCATCGCATAATGGTGGATTCCCTCCGAGCTCCGGAGGGAATCAGCTCAGCAGGGGTCGGGTCCTGCCGCGGCGGCGATGCGGGGACCCCTATAAACCAAAGGCGTGGAAGCCTGTGGACTTGGTGACTCGGTGGGCACCTTTGCGCCCCCCCGACCCGCGAAGGAGCCTTTTTAAAGGCTACGGAACGGGGGACGGGGAGCGGCGCGGTGCTGAGAGTCCTCTGCTTCCCCTGCTGAGTGAAGCCGCATGCCATGGACGGAGAGCGCTGACTTCTTCCTTTGAACATCTGGATTAAAAGTAACAACCCGTGAGTAATACGGAAATTGGACTTAAAAGGGAATTTTTTTTTCCGGATTTGGAACGAACGGGGTAGGCGCAAAGAGGAAGTCCGTCTCCCCGCCTTGTAAACAACTTAAAGCAAGGACTAGCTAACTAAGGTTGAGAGAATATCTTCTTCTTTATTGGATAAAAGTTATTAATTTCACGATTTGGCAGTATAAGCAATTTGCTGGAGGATAAGAGTTGTTTTTGAGAGTTGAAGTGCAACCCCCCCCCGGGATCCGGGAGTGATCCGCGAGAGAGCCTGTCAAGAGACATAGAAGATTTTGACAGCTGTCAAACTAGCTGTCAAAGTTGGGAAAGAAAGAGAACATTGTTTCTGTTGTCTCTGCTGGATATATTTGTTACAATTTGGTTATAAATTGTTGGAAACAAGGAAGAATTGATACAAACTAACTTGACTTTTGGTTTTTGAACCAGAAGGAATACTAAGTAACCAGAATCCCTCTAGAGGGGGTTCTGGGACATTACAATGGCTGCAAGTGGAAAAATACTGATGGAGCTAAACAGGACTTTCTTTCTCCTGGGAAAGTTACAAGAACAAAACGATGTTTTGGCTATAAGGGTCAAAACACTGAATGAAACAGTAAATAACTTCACTGAATCTGGAAGGGATTTGACTCAAGTCTTAGCAACTGAACAAAAGGCCCTTGCAGCGGAACAAAAAGTTTTTGTAGCTGAACAGGAAAAGAAATTTGAGAAATTTGAGAAAGTGGGAAAAGAAATATATGATGATCTGGAGAGTAAGGAAGGAGGAGCAACAATGCCGCAGATGAAGGAAAGCCAGAGGCCTGTCAAGAAGGATACAAAGGAAAATAAGAACTGGATAATGAAAATTTGGTTTGAATTGGAGAATGAAGAATGGAGAGATCTCCTTATGTGGAGATCTGAAGACTCTTGGATTACAAATCTGACCAAGATGGAAGTTGGAGCTTTTGGGACATTTGGACTTAAAAGGATTAAGAAACAAGATTTGAGCTCCACTTTTAATTATTGAAATCTGACTGGAAGAAAAATGGACATTATTGAGACAGAGCTTCTCCGAGATTTGGTGTTTGATATAAAGGACTATCAAAAAAAACCGGCAGAGAGGAACTGAGAGAGAATTACGAGCCTCGGACGTGAGGTCTCCAGGCTGACTGCAGATGGACTGATGGACATTTGAGGGGGATCAAAACCGGGAAAGGGGGGGTGGGGATTGGGAATCCAAAGGGTGTATAATTATATTTTGATCTTTTTTATTTTATTTTGTTAGGGGTATTAAAATGGGGAATTCGTGGAAGGGTATTGGGGTCGACCTTAGAAAAAGATTTTAAGAATGGGTACTGAGGTACAAAGACTGATGTTTATAAGTTAAAATTGGTTATATAAAATGAACTAAATATAATAATGAACTAAATATAATAAGGTCAAAAATTGGGGATAAGAACTAGTTGAACTAATAATTGGAATTGGAATACAAGAGAGGGAGGAGTGGGGAAGTCATGGAAATATGTTATTGAAAATAAGGCTGTAAACGGTGAATGTTTTTTAATCTTTTTTGGTTTTCTCTTTTTCTTTCTTTTTTTCTGGATTTTTAGAAAATTTTAATAAACATTTTTTTGGGGAAAAAACCTGGTGAGTCACATCAGTTTCCTAAGCTCCACAAAAGGCAAAAAAGGGGCAGGGGCAGGGAATTGATGGAGAGAGAGAGAGAGAGAGAGAGAGAGAGAGAGAGAGAGAGATACCCCCCCCCAAAAAAAAACACTAAAGGCCATAAGTATAAAATCAATATATACCATACTTTTCCGTGTAAAAGATTAGGTTTTTTTACTAAAAAATTATGGTAAAATAGGGGGCGGCATGTTATACATGGAAAAATACAGTATATACATATACAACCAAAACATTGAAGCCCATAAGTAGAAAATCTAAGTTTTTGAAGTGAAATTGAATAGCCTAGGATTGAGATTAGGAATCTGCTTAGAGATTTGTCCCTTTTCATTTCCTTTGCATAAATTCAATGGCTCAAATGGTGGCATCTCCTATTCAGCAGTTGGAAATGGAAAGATAAAAACCTGTTCTTAGCCTTGTTCCCAACTTTCCCTTGTACATGCCAGTTTCATCTGAACTTCCTGAGCAGTACAGGGAGTCTGAAGGAAGTTTCTAAATTTATTAGGCTAAACATGCTTTGAAGCCTCCTCATGATGAGAAACCCTACTAAGAAAGGGTTCTATGTTTCAAAACCACAACAGAAAGGGAAGATGAGAGTAAGGTAACTCATGAATTAAGGAAGGGAGGGGTCTCTTAGCCTTGCCCTGAACTGTTGGGATCCTTGCCTGCACAACTTTAAGAGGCAGCATCTGTTCTGCAACCAGTCAAGATCTCCTCAGAATAGGCCGCGATCAGCTCAGATTGTGAGGAGAGGAGGTCTCTAACAAGGAGGCAGCCATAGCTAGCCTGTTCCCAAGAGACATGGCATCCCAAATAGCCCACCCCAGTGCAACCCACTATGACCTTAGAAGCCCACTTCAGTTGCACTGCATGAGCCTGAGTGTCAGTATTATGCAAGAGGGAGAAAAGCTTTTATCTACTTTCTACACCCCAGGCATCCTTTGCAGACACATCAGTCATGCCCATTGCTTCACTTTTTGGCAGCAAGTCTATAAGTTTAATCCTGCATTGTGTGAAAAGGTTACTCCTGCTTGAACCACAAACTATCTGCATTCCAAATTTTAGGTTCATTCCTATGTCAAGGTGAAATTTTGTATTTCCAGAACCGTGGCAACAATATATGTATTTGGATCATTTGATATGTACCTGTTTGAAGGGAAATCCAAGGAATGTTGATTTTTCTTCTTTCTACATTCTTAGGATCCGGACAACCTTCACAAGAAGGTGTAGTACAAGAAGACAATTCTTCCTTGGCAGTTGTGGTTTCTGAGATCTCCATTCCTACTGGCCCTTCATAATCAAACCTTCCAATTCCTTCTGATGGCACTCTTCACCTGCTAGCACTTGAAGAGGGAAGCCCTTGCTTTACAACATTTCAGAACTTCATAGCTCTTCTGAACTAATGTAATACAAAGGCTTCCTAACAACACATGGCCACTCCAGAGCCCATGATAGAAAAAGAAGCCTGTCAGATTCAATCCTGATAAAATAGTCCTGGTTATGTCATGTTGAGACGAAGGAGATGAGTTAGCAATAACTACCAAGGCTCTCTGACTCCACCGCAATGTAGGCTCAACTAACAAACTGGGAAATGGCAACTTCCTTCATTTGCTGAGTTGGACTGGGATGACATAGGGAAGGAAGAAGACCTGCAGCCTAGTTAGGATTCAAAATTTGCTGCTCTTTTGATTTCTCTGCTTGAATTATCAATAAAAAAATTAGATGCAACTTATCTCTCTCTCCTCCATTATGATCAGTGGGTAGAGGCTTCCCTAAGTAGTCTTACAGTGGTGCCTCGCAAGACGAAATTAATTCGTTCCGCAAGTCTCTTCGTCTTGCGAGTTTTTCGTCTTGCGATGCACGGTTTCCCATAGGAATGCATTGAAAATCAATTAATGCGTTCCTAGGGAAACCGCCTTCAGACCAGGTCCGGGGACAGTCTGTCCCCGGACCTCTTCTGAAGGCTGGGGGGGGGGGGAACAAGGGCTTTTCTTCCCACCCCCAGCATTTTAAAAAACCCCGGGACAGCGGAGGACTTCTCCGCTGTCCGGGGCGATCTTAAAATGCTGGCGGGCGGCATTTTAAAATCGCCCCGGGACAGCGGAGGACTTCTCCGCTGTCCGGGGCGATTTAAAAGCCCCTGGGAAGGCAGGCAGGGGGGACAAAGACTTTTGCCCCCCGCCTGCCTTCAGAAGAGTTCCTGGACCTCTTCTGAAGGCGGGCGGGGGGCGAAAGTCTATGCTCCCCCCCCCTGCCTGCCTTCAAAAGCCGTCCGGGACAGCGGAGAAACACGCTGTGTTTCTCCGCTCTCCCGGGAAGGCAGCTGCGCTTCCCCGCTTCGGATATTTCCCTATGGGCTGTCGTCTTGCGAAGCAAGCCCATAGGGAAATTCGTCTTGCGAAGCGCCTTCAAAACGGAAAACCCTTTCGTCTAGCGGGTTTTCCGTCTTGCGAGGCGTTCGTCTTGCGAGGTACCACTATAATTCTATTTAATAATTCTACTTAATAATTCTTTGCATTCCCATCCTCAGGTGCAAGTACAACTGCAAAAACTGAGTGGGAACAATTGTTGATACTCTATATCCGTTTCATAACTTAGGACCACATAACACATAAAGGATATTTCACCAATCCAGTTTGACCACTGCCCACAAATGCTGGCCATGGAATTAATAGTGTACAGTCATCTTAGCATAGCCTTCCCTAGCCTGATGCCCTCCAGATTCCCTCATTGGGAAGGGTTGGAAGGGACCCAAGGGTCATCCAGTCCAACCCCCTGCAATGCAGGAATCTCAGCTAGAGCATCCATGTGGCCATCCAACATCTTCCTAAAAACCTCCAAGGAAGGAGAGTCCACAACCTCCTGAGGGAGTCTGTTCCACTGTCGAACAGCTCTTACTGTCAGAAATTTTTCAGTTTGTTTAGTTGGAATCACTTTTCTAGTAACTTGAAGCCTTTGGTTTGAGCCCTACCCTCCAG